AGTTTATTTTTATATTTTTAGTTTTTTTGTAGTAAATAGGTAAAAGTTTTGTTTTAATATTTCTCAAAAAATCAAACTTCGAGTTTATGTTTACTTTAAATATGATCATTTGAACCAATTTCATTTACATTTTTTGTCATTTTAAATAACAATGTTTAAAATTGTGTAAAAATTTATTTGCCATACAATTGATATTCGAGTATTAATAAATTAATAATGCAAAGTAATCAATATTTATTAAAAAAGGTTTGTTTGCATTGAATTATTTTTGGAAAGTCGAATTTTATAACTGAGCGTAAAATGTTGATTCACTTGAAATTCCGGTTTTATAAATAATAACTCTTATTACTACACATTTAATAAAAAATACGGAACTGAAAATGAAATTTAACTGAAAAAATGGTTTTTAATACCATGCACAAGATGACAAAATATCATAATAAAATAACCAAATTTTCCCTCCTTTACTGAAGTTTATAACTTAATATAAAACCGTAGTAATTGTTAGTTTTACTAAAATCTTTACCATGATTTTTGCATAAATACAGAGCTTTCAGTGGTTCCCATAAAACCAGAAACCTTATTCCATTCCATTTAGCATATTCTGTTAGATTTGACCAAAATTTTGTGTGGTTATTCTTTTTTTATTAATGTATTTAATTTTTAAATTGCAACACATATTTATAGCTCGAAAATTCGCTCATGGAGTATTTCAGCGAAAATTGAGAGATTAAGTTTAAATTATACTTAAAAAAAACATGTTTAGTACATATACATTAGTAAATGTCTATACACAGAATCGTAAGGCAAACACTAAGAGCATAATTTAAGTCCCTTAATAATAACTACTGCGAATATCACATTGTAGAGAATTTTATAAAATGTTGAAATATGTTTTAGATGAAATTCGCCATGGACTTTGTATTATTGCAAGTTAAAAAACTTTTTTTTTCTTCACATTAACGCTCAAGCTTAATAATAATATCATTATACCAATTGAATTTCAAAAATTTTTTTACATCTTAAAATAATCACAGCTAACATTTCCCTATATTATTAAAATACCTAAATAAAATTCGATTCAACATTTAACCATTTTTCTGATAAGAATCCGACCTTCAACTTTTAAAATTAAAGCAAAATATTCTCTTTAAAAAGATGTTTAGCAATTTTAGTCATTTCGGCTTAAAAAAAATAGGTGTTCAACACGATCTTATGATTATCTTTCTTGCTTAGAAAAATAAGCATAAATAAGTGAATTTAAGTAATTAAAAGTTAAGTGAATTAAAGTTAATTAAAAATCATCTTCCTCAGCTCATTTATTCTTTCTTTAATACCAAATTTTCTATACTTGAAGGTCTTTCTATTCTATTTATTAAGTAGTTTTAGAAAAGAATTAATTTTTTAATTCATAAATAGAATAAGAAAATAATTACAGATATATTGAGAGGTAGTTATTAGTCGCCCTGCAAAGAGTCATCTTGCAATGAAAGTAGTTCTGATGATTTTAATATCCGCTTTCGCACAAATAAGTTGCCAGATTTCAATAGAGAATTTGCTTCTTCTCACCATGAATTATTTATTGTCCTTGCGATTCATTTGCTAACCCTAATGTGGAAACTTATTTGACAAATGTTAAGTAAGAAATCTATAGTAAAAGAATTCAAATCTTTGTGAAAGAATGTAAAATGCGTCACTTAAGAGATTTCATACTTGACGGGCTTCGATTACTCGAAATAGAATGGAAAGACCAGTTGATAACATAAAGAAATGCCACGTTTCAAAAACCAATCAGGATCGAGATACCACCACACTACGTCACTTACATTCATATCCTTTTTCCCCCTAAAAGTTACAAATCATTATGAGTTAAAATGATAAACTCTCCGCTGCATTTCATTACTAAATTTCACTTAGGGTTTAATACTCGAAAAATTTAAAATAAATGGTTCTTAGAGTTTTTCATTTTTATATGATATAAATGCACGTTTACTAACCTTGCTATACAGAAATCTTAATTTAGAACACATTGATTTTTTTAGAAGTGATGGTTATGATGAGACCGCAAAAAATGTGGTTGGTGAAGCAGGGAAACAGAAAAAGGCGAAAAAGAAACGTGTTGGAAGGTTTTTCCGAAAATTATTCTGTTCCTGCATGAGGAAAAACAAAGAGTAGTTAAAGGTGACAAAGTCACTGTTGAAGCTGATTAACGTAGCTTCAGAAATATTTATTTCAACGAAATTTCGTCAAAGCCATCGTTTTTGTCATTTTATCGAGGCGGATGAATTTAATTTCTTGTTCAAATGATGTAATTTAGGCCTTTTTTGGTATTTAATTAAATAAAAATGATAATTTTCGACGTTTATTGTTTCTGTTTTCTTATGTATCAATCAAGTCATAAAATTTTTCGCAACTAAGTAGCTCAATTGATAGCAACACTGAAATAAAGATCAATTTGGAAGAATGGTTTATATCCATGAAAGTTGATTCATGAATGCTGAGAGAGGGAAAAAAAAGAAAGAAAGAAAACTGCTTTTGTGGATAAACATTAACTGTTTTTTCCCCCAGACCGACCCATCCTTGCTACGTAATAACTCTTAGGTATAACCACGTTTAATCGTTATTGATTTGACAAAATTTTGTAATTTTCAACAGATTGCAATCTAATCGCCATTTTTGTGTAAAAATGAATATTAGCCATTCTTCCTCCTTGATCTTCAAATATTTTGTTACAGTTGAAAAAACAAAAAAACTAAGTTTGAATACCTTTTAATTCTGAGAGAGAGAGAAAAGGCTCAAAATATTGAACAATATTTATACAGTTTTATCACTAAAAATACTGTTTTAGTATATAAGTTATTAGTTAAAATAATATTGATTATTAGGTTTTATTTCAAATGTAATGCATTAAAATTTTCGAAATGTAAGTTGATTTTTCGTTTCCTGGATGGAAATTTTGAAAATTATTAAAAATTTTAACGCAGTTTGAATTTTACATTTTAAATCGATTTTCTAACTCTTTTTCTCAAATGAAGAAATTAGCATTTGGTTAGATATTCACTTTAAAAAAATCTTAAAAAAAAAAAAAAACTCAATTTTTAAGTTCCTTTATACTTATTTACATACATATTAACATTGAGCCTCCTAATTTAAATACATTTTTTTTCCTTAAAAATAGACTATATAGCAATTAGAAAAATGAATTCTACAATTTTATGAGCAAAACCATTTCGAGGTTGAACAAAACGGGTCATGATATCTTCAGATCAAAAAGATATACTTCTAAATTTTTTTGCAAAACCAAACTATTATGAGGTAAAATATTGAAAAATTAAATTTATCATTAAATCATTCAAAAGCCAATCGATATACTAATAACATTTTCATATCAGAATTTTCTTTAATGCATTCTTTCAATGTGCGCGAAATTTCAAATTTTTATTAATGAATAACTTTAGCGTTATGAGAAGTGCGAAGCCTGAAAATTTTCCGCAATAGCAGTGACTGCAACAATAACCTTTCTTTATCACAGAGTAGTTTCTAAGCTTGCAATGTGTTGTAGATAGCACCATACAGTACAAAATGCATCGATAATCGAAAATTTTTTTTTATTTAGAATTGCGTTAAAATAAATCTGAGCATTATGTCATCAAAATTATTGATTTGAACTTCCTAGAAACACACTTTTATTGGAAAAAAAATTACGTGAGAAAAAGTTGGAACTGTAAAATGCGTTTTCATTTAAATAAGCCGGTGTAAGAAATTAAGGGAATTTGCAGATTTGGTCGATTATCTCTAGAACTACTGGAGCGATTTTAATGAAATTTGATATGTACATATATTGATAAAATAGAAAACAAATAACCATTCAACAATTTTAATACAAAAGCACGATCGTAACACTCGTTGGAGTCATAAGATACCTACACAGCCACAAATATCCACGACACATCTTTGAGATATCTCTCGGATAAAAAATATCGCCATATCCATCAAAGGATATTGCCATAACCATCAGAGATCCCCGAGACATCTGAATATCCATGAAATATCCAGGGGTCGCATCTGTGTGACGTCTAGCAGATATTTGGATATTGATGTCTACTTCATATCCAAGAGACATCTGATAGATATCTTTGACCTACCACAGTTATCCAAGGGATATCCTAAGTTAAACATTGATATCTCTCCAACATCGTTCAGATATCTGTTACATTTAGTTTCTGGGTATCCCAAGGATATTCTTTTAGATATCTCAGAGACAACCCTGAATGTCTGAGAGATATATTTCATTTTTGTTTACTAAAGTCTTTAAAAAAAGCTTCTTTACTAAATTTGTATTATTAATTATTAAACGACACAAATTTTTAATTGAGTATCTCTTATTAAATTAATTTATCTTGTATTATGAATATATTTAGATTGTATATCATGTAAGTTTTGAGAATATTAACTGCAAAATGCTAGGATATATGTAAAATATGTACTCATAATACCTGATTCACTTTATTTGACAAATTGTTTCAGAATTCTAATTTGAAATATTTGCATGCTTTAAATTATTTTTTGCGTTGATTGTTAGCTTAAGAAATTTGTCAAAACAGTAAATTTAATAAAATACTAAATTTATGAAAGTTTTATTAAAATTAATTTTTTTCCACTGTGACTGTAATGTTCAGAATGAGTGTTTTAAATTAGAAACGTAATTACAATTAAGGCATATAAATTTTTACTGGAAGAAAAGAACTGGTTGTATTTGAAAAATGAATAGTTGAAGGAATAATATGAAAATATTTCAAGATTCTGAATTTTCTCAATTATGAAAAAAATTTGCAAGACATCAATGATTCATTTTCTAAAATTAAAAAAAAAGTTTAATTAACTTAAAGAAATGTTTCATTATTATTATGAGTTTTAATTTAAATTAGAAAAACAGGAACATTTTTGAAGCTGAATTTTTTTTAACATTTTCACGCTTATTGAAAAGGATGTTAAATAAATAAGGGTATAAATCTAGATTAGTTTATTTGCAAAAAAGTAAATTTACAATTTAAAATTTTCTAATGAAGAAACATTTCTTGCTTTTGCATGCTGCAACCAGTTTTTTTTTATAGCTTTTTCAATTTTATGGCGTTACTTTGTCCTGGATCGAAGGATTTCTCCTCACAGCACCTAAAAACAGAGCAATTGCATAGCATAAGTTTAAGAAATGATCGAAATTAAATATTTATTAATGATATTCAGGAAAAATACCTATTCTTTCTTTAACAGAATTTATTTTACCCCTCCATTTTCCATTAGAAAATTTTCTTTCATAAAATTAGTTAAAATTTTAAATTTTGTTTCTGTAGTTTAGTTTGTTTACAGAAATAAGTGAAAGTAAAAAATTTGTAAAAAAGTAAAATGTGACTTCTTAAAATAGCATTTACTCTCAATAAATTTTAACTTTTTAATTGCATACAGAATGATATGCACTATTTTGCCACTATAAAGTGCACATTAATAATTTTTATAATCTGGTTAAAAGCAATAAGCTAAAGCTAATTTGATTGATAAAAATAGTAGGAATTATGGAGAAGTCTACCAGAAAGAGCATAAAAATCCTTTTAATTTATGCTAAGAAAAAAAAATTCTAAAATTTGTGCCAGTGAAAATTAGAAGACCAGTGGTTAATTTATTGTGATATTAGTTCCAAACATTTTTGTTGTAACCTTTATCCATATTTTTGATTCTTAAACTTACCCAAGCATAATTTATCATTTAAGGACACAGTAATAATATTTAAAGAGCATGCATAGTCAAATTTTTCAACAAAAAATGAGCACTCAAGAAATATTGTTTATCACTTTCCAAAAAAATACAAACACATTTTTAAAAACTTAAACTAGTTTCGGATAAATATTGCAACGAAAATCGTGTTTTTTTCTTCTTTTTATAATTTCTGACACCAATCGGCACTCTAAAAAAATCTCTTTTTAGAAGATAGAAAAGTAAGCACTTTTTACAAACCAACAATTAGTGGAACACCTTAAAAGGATTTTAAAATATGAAAATCAAAAATAAGCACCTGTAAGCACTTTTTAAAAATGCTAGGCACCCTGTTATGTTAGAAAACGAAGATAGATTTTATCACATTTTATTACCTACCATGCTAATATATATTAGATAATTATTTTTCAAATTTAAATTTTTTTCTTCTACAAATGCCTGGAGACAGACAATGAACAAAATAATTAAACAAATTTTTGTGAATTGATGCATTGTAAATAAGGGCACATTATTTGACTGTGATAGCTTATATGCTTTTGCAATTATTGTTAAACACTGACTCATAAAAAATTTTACTTAAGGAATACAATTTTTTCTCAAGAAAACAAATAGTAAAAATTGACAGCTAATTATTTTTTTCTTCTTAATTTTATAATTCTTTTCTTCTCGTCATTTATTTTATAATTTTTTTTTAATAATTCACAGAATAAATTAGTTTATGCTTAGAAAACAATATTATTTTTTTTGAAGTTTAACATATTATAAATGCATGTTCAGCGCAGCTGAATAACCGAACTACCAGACATTAATAAATATAGTAATAAAATGTTGAGAAAGTAATTTTGAAGAGATTTAAAAAGAAATATTAAATGTGCAGTAGAGAACATAAAGTTAGTTTATAATCCACGGTTTAGGTTATTGTTCAGGGATAAAATTATTATCCAAGAATGAAATTATTATTAAGTAATTGATTAATGGTTTGTTAAATTAGGATTGGGATATCATCATGCGTTATAAATCCCACTTGATAAAAACAGAATTTAAGTTTGAATCTTACTGAAGACTATTGCAGACAGTTTTAAAAGGGAAAAATTTCTTTTTCCGTCGACACGAAATTAGCTGAAATTTTCTGCAACAGAATTGCTTAAAAGTTTCATCAGAGTTCATTTTACGGTGGCATCCACGGTTCCAACGCCACAAGTATATCTACTTGTCTTTTGATCTAACAAATATATTCAAATTAGTGGAAACACTTAAAACAACACAAATTTACTATTAAAATTTCTTGAGTCTTGGAATCTGTTAACTCCTTTTCTACTTGATCAATATCTTCCATTGAAGATACGGGAAGAATAAAATTTAATTCTTCTTCAGAATTATGCTGTGTCACGGCATTAGCTAGAAGGAAAAAAAATTACTTTTAAAATTTACTATCACATTCAATGAATGCTGAAATATGAAAAAAGGCTGTACTCAAAGGTGGTAAGAAAAGGACAATTGAACTTTCGAGAGCTCCTGTTGGAATTCCTTTCAAGAAGTGAAATGTATTTTAATATATTTTTTTAATATCCGAGGATCTTTTCTTTTCTTTTTTTAATCTGTCTCTGTGCGCAGCCTTGAAGGAACACAAAGTCTCTGAGAAATAAATACTAGAATAAAGTGCTTTTCTTTTTAAATATCACCAGTTTTACAAGCAAATTAAGAGCTCTAGAGTAGATAAAAGAGATGTCAAGAGTACTTTTGTATCTTTAGATTAAAGGTAAAATTAAAAAATAAATAAATTAATAATAAAAATTAGATAAAAGGAAAAATTTACCTCAGGAGGCGATTGTGGGAAATCCCCCTTTCAAATAATACAGAGTGGAAATCATTTATAGTACAACCTTAATATCCAGACAAAACACAGAGGTCCTTACAAACTTTATTTTTTTGCAACAATAAGCTTCATCGCAAAAGCAAAAAAAAAAAAAAAGACTTATTCGTTATTTAAATTACTTCTATTGTTAGACACTCATACACTTAATATCATATTTACCTCGTTATAGAACAAACAAGATGGTGAAATAATAACTGAATACCTTAAGACTAATGTTCTAATCTACCATAAACATAAACAATATTTCAATCTACAAGTTAATCAGTATTATTTAAGGTAAAATCTTTTTAAACCAATCAGAAGAAATGGACTGACTTTATTTATTTCCTTGACATTTTGAGACCACATAGTGCTTGCCATTTTACACTTAGTTAATTTCTCTTATTACTATGTTTTTAAATAATGTTTTTTTTATTTTATTTAAAACAAGTATTAGTAAAATTGTGTATAGTTTTTTGCAATAAGTATGAATTTCAGATTCAATATATAATTTTTTTTCCATGAAAAGTACAACACAATATTTTTAAAAATCATTACACAATATTTTTTAAAAACAAATTTATTACATATTACACTTTTTATTACTGTTGACTGTTTCTAAAATAAAAAATATTCTAGCATTCTACTTCCTTTTCTTTTTCACTTCAAGCATCATGTTAAATTTTTTTGATGTTATTTGTCACTGATTTCATTTATCATTTTTATAATGTTACTTACAATATGAAGCAGCTCATTATGCAGAATTTTTTTGTAATTGTTAAATATTGTAAGCTTTTATCTAATGGGAAAGTTAAAAATAACCAATTTATTTTTAATTTTCAAACTTTTATTTTAACTTTTTATTTTTTGCAAAAAAAAAATTTTATTTCCCATACAAGAGTTTCCACACATTTGTCAAAATCTTATACTAGTAAAAAATAGGAAATTTAAAACTACCTGCCTCATTAGAATTTTAATGTTTCTTTCTCCAAACTTTTCATTTGATTTACATACAAGTTGAACAGGATGCCTATTACTACCATAGTTAGCTTTACAAGTAAGCTTATTATTATTATTTTTTTAATTCTTTATAACGAATTTGCAACATATTGAATGAAAAATGCCCATTCTAATATACCAGTATTTTTTCCCAATGTTGAAAAAAAAGGTTATCTTAATTTTCATATTTTTTCTTAAATAGTTTAGCTTTTATATATATTTCCATTAATGTATTTAAAACTTTTCAGGGGACCAAGTTATAAATTTTGGCCTACGGGTCATAGGTCATCTTTGTAAGCCTAAACATAAAAAATGTTTGCTGATTCGGTAGCTTCATATTTTCGTCCATAAGCATCATTTGCTTCATAAGAACCTGATTGTCTAAGAAAATATACCAAAAATCAATGGTGAATGTATTACAAGTCCCCGATATAAAACAATTAATTATCAACTTACCAGTGGTGAATGTGGATGATCCTTATAAATCCTCACACAGAATAGGAGATGTATCATCCTCTAGAAAAATAACAAGTAGTATAAGTCTTAATATTAATACAGCTATAAGCAATTTGAGCCAATAAGGTACATTAATTTACCAGCAGGTATGTTATGAAATATAAGATCCGGCGTCTCATCGTTAACAGCAATAACTACACTGCTTTCTGACAACTGTAGCTCCTTGGGCCGACTTTCAAGAAAGAAATCTACAGGAACAGTAGATACCTGTAGATTTGGAAAATGTAAGTGAATTGCTTAGCAATGGAGGCACATCTTAATCTGATGATGATCCAATATTAAATTTTTTAGTGATTTCACGCCTTTTCCTTTCTCAGCATCGGATTCCAAATCCGATCTTTCTTCAGCTTTAGAGAGGTCCTTCCGTTCATCTTCGTCTGTTTCTGCAAAAATGTAATACATTTGAAAATGTTAGCGAGAGAGAAACTTTAAGAAGGAAAAATTAAATTTATTTAAACTAGAAAAAACAACCTACAATAGCCTTGAGATCAAAATATAGCACTTAAAATTATGACAAATGTTTCACATAAGTAACTCTATATTAATTAACAATAAGCTAGTAGCATAAAACTTAATTTTAATTTTTCTTTATAAATATATAACATTATCATCACAACTTACACCAACTTTTTATTAAATAATAATTGAAAACGAAAAATCTTTTGTTATGCATAATTTTTGCATTCTGCTTTAAAAAAATCACGAAATTTATAGGGAAAAAAAATCCCACAATATTTTGGCTTGGAAAGTTTTTATTTTTTTATTGACCAAAAAGAAAAAAACTCTCCATAGATTTTTTCCTTTTATCTAGAAAAATATGATTTAATTAACGTTGTAGTATGGTAGACTACATATTAATTAAAATTATTTGTTAATTTTAATTTAATTATCTAATTTCATTATCTAATCATCTAATTTATTTAATCATCATTCATCTAATTTAATAATCATTTGTTAATTGTTAATTTGTTAATAATGTAATAAACAGCTTAAATAATTGTAACTGTTAAATTTGTCATAAACGTTTCATTGTATGTTTTTTAATTTCTTCTTTTTACACTTGTAATTAATGTTATTTATTTATCAGTATTCAATAATTCCTTGCAATAATTTCATGTAATATTTAAGTTTTAAGCCTCAATTTATTTTGTAACCTTGAGAAAGTAATCTTTCTCTGCATTTATGTTCTTTCTTTAAAAGAAGATTCCTCCTTTTGTTACTTCGCTGACAGCAAGATGCATGTCCAGTCAGCAAACCCCTCTGTTCGATTGAGAAGGAGTGACCTCAAAGTTCGTTTTCCCACGTTTCGGCTTGCATCAAATGCTAAGCGCCCCTTTTGATCTTATGATGGCGCCAAGAAGGTTCCAGAACATTCCACAAAATTCTTTTCCAGGTGTGTCACCATTTTTAACAACCCTGCTTCATGTTTGGCATGGAGCTTAACAATTAACTTCGCCAGTTGGCCACTATTTGCAGCTCTGTGATTTGCCCCTCTGATCCTTCTTCATCCAACCAATGCGATATTCGTAAAAGTTTAATTTTCTTTTGGCGAGTTTTTTCTTGCCTATCTTCATAATGAAGAAGAAGGCAGTTGTGGTTTTTTCTCAATAGTGTTTGTTTGTTTCTCAGCTTAGGCCGAGTAGTTTTTTTTGGGTTGGCCTGTTTGATAATGTGTTGATAGTGCAAAATATGTTAAATTTTGAATAAAATAATCTTATAGTATCCTTTACTATGGGTCTGGTGAGTTACTTTATTATGTAAGTTGTTTTCTCTTTCTTCCTTTTTTTCAGCATGTTCCTCGGTTGCACTTACCTGAACCATTGCATCATACAATCGTAATGTACCCCACTATCATCCTTTTCGGCCTTTACATAATTACTTTCTAAATTGCATTTAATCCTAAGTTGACTTAATGTTAGTCACCCCCTTTACTTTCTCCCTTTTCTATTTTGCCACACCACAAACGTTATGTTAAAAAAATGATAGGATTGTTAAAATTTTTATTTCGGAAAAATTTCCAGACTAAAAGTTTTTCAATTTAATACCTGTTTTTAAATATGCGTGTATGTATGTATGCGTGCGTCATTTTGATTTATTTAATCAAATTAGTAAACATATGAAATAAATGAAAATTTTGCTGTGTATTTGTAAAATGTGCTATTTTTAACTTCAAAATTATTTTGTTTAGAAATGAGAGTTTTAACAGTGTCTAGTATTGGGTCTGGGAATAGGTTTAGGTAATATGAATGGGCTTTAACATTCCAAAGTTGGTTAAGAACAACTGTATCAGATTGAATGAATGTGTATTCAAACTTTACATCTAGATCTGCATCACTAGATTTGGGCTAGATCCAGTGATTCGCTGTAAAATTCTGAGTTAAAAAACTTACAATATTGAACACTCAGGGTAACACAGGAAAAAACCAAAGGAAAAAAAAAGTAAGAAAAGAGTAAGGAGGTAAATAATAAATTAGTGAAATATACAGCATTCTGAGGTCGTACCTGAGAAGAACACATTAATTAAATAACAAAAATTATACATAGTTCATCACATCCTATTTAATCACGTGTAAACATTGCGTCTTAACTGGTATATACATACCAGTTGAAATTGCATTTGGACAAAAAAATAATAATTACTTTTAGAAATAAGTTATTAACATATTCACCCAAAAGTTCTGCTTCATGGCGAATCCAATCTGGAGAAGCCTTAGTTAGCTTCACAACAAGTTTCCCAACTTCATACGCTTTTAAAGGAGGCCACACACTTCCTTTTGTTGACAACCAGGTCACTGGCACAACTGCAACCTCAACAGTCAATAGAAACTTAACAATTTCAAAATTGTTTGGCATTATCCATATAATTCAAAATACTTTTGAACATTTACATATTTCAGATATATACATGAATAAAGCAATTACAATATCAAAAAAAAAATTAAAATAAAGAAATTCTAAGTTCATGATTTCTTAAAATTAAAAGCTTTATATATACAATAATCCATTAGATTCAAGCAATCATGTCAGCATGGAAACATTGTTTTGATACACTTGGTCATTATCCATATAATGCAGTATTAAACATACTTTTAAACATTTACACATTTTAGATATACACATGAATAAAGAAATAACAATAGTATTATAAAAAATGAAAACAAAATTCTAAGTTAAAATTTTTTACATCTTTAAAAAGATGGAGATGGAATTAATGCATCTTTAGAAAGATGGAGTAAGCAATGAATATTGTGAGACATGTTCTTTTCTGTATAAAAATGGAAAACCTTTAACAAAACATAGCAGCCAAGAATGAGCAAAATTCATCATGGCAATATTAGAATTAGTTATAAAAACCTTTATTGAACAATGTAATAGTAAAAAGTACATGTACAGATCATTTCGTAAGCTGCCTTTTAAAACTATTGACCTAAGGAAAAGCAAAAATTGTCTGAATTCTGTAGCTTTCCAGCATTCGAAATCTCTTAACGTCCTTGGTCTTCTAACAAAATCATTACTAATGCTTGAAGTAAAACCGAAAAGTTTAACAAAGATTGCCTCTGACAGACTGTTTAACAGTCAATATTTAACATCACATTTTAGCCATAATTTTATGAGCTTTTTCATAACCCCTAAGCAAACAAGATGTATGTATTCAAATGGGACTTGAGATACAGGGCCACAATTTTCAACCATTCAGGGTCACATTTATAATGGTTATCAACTGCAAGTCTGTTTCTGAAATCTGTATCAGTCTTTCAACAAAATCTACTTGAGGAAAACAAACTCTCTTTTTAAAATATAATCCTTCCTGAAAACATCTGTTGCAACTGGAATAACCCGAATGACTTTTAATGCACAATATAAATGCTCGGACAGAGGCATCAAAAATCATTCCCTTCAGATGCATTTTATAATGCTTCCCATTATCCACGATACCATTCTTAAATAATTTGTTCATTTCTTTGTTAAACTTGTTTAAAAACAGATTTGGATTTTCTGGTTTCTGATTTGAATGGAATATACCTATGGGGCTCCTGTGCAATAACTTGAATGCACCTTGAGTTCAAGTTGTAACTTAATGATCCCAAAATCGGCCATAACTGACTACCTGAACTATTCGCTAAAGGCAAACTATCACTATTTACAAGTAGTTTTAGATTAAGATCTAATAAATTTTTAGAGTCTATCTCAGATAAAATAAACTTAATTCCTACTTCAATTCCAAAATGATGGTACACACCATTAGATATATTTTCCATTTTACACATCGAGGTTTTTGAAGCAGTGAGCGGGCATCTAAAGGCAAGTCTGAAACACAAGGATATTTCTTTAAAACTTTTAACAAATTAATGATTGTAGATTGAGGCTTGTTATCAGCAATAGCCGATATTGCCAAATCATTTTTTAAATTCGATGGGTGATCTTCTTGATTGGTGTTAATTCAAGTTGAATTTATTGAGGATTAACCTATTTCGATCAAAACAGTTACATTAGAATTAAACAAAGATAGTACACATATAGATTTATTATTTATTTCAAGTGGTGTTGCTGGCGACTGACATTCACAGACAGATTTTGAATACTCGGACAGCCTAGTTACATCAGTATCATTCAATGATGCATTAATTTTCATGCAAACTTTAGAATGGATACGTTTTTTAATTTTGGGCATGCTTGCCGATTAATGAAATGTTACACACAATAATTTGTAAGCTAACTGACAAGGAAATTCGAATATCTAAGGGATGTCGCAAAGTTTTACATGAACGTCTGACTTATATCCAAGCTCATACATTTCAGAGATATCTAAAATGCATATAGGAAAAATAAAAATGACAATATTAGAAATAGGAAGGGAAAAAAATATTTAAATACAAAAACTCTTATTTACTTCAACAATAAATGATTTTTATATCAAAAAAAGATTGTAAAATGAAAAGATAAACAGATAACTTGACCTTTGTCATTTAAATTATTTCATAAAAGAAATAAATTATTTCAAGCCAGAAATACTAGGTTACTATTAGTAAACTAGTATTTCTTTTATTACTGTATAATGTAATCCCAGTAACTACTAATTCATTGCACAATTTATATAAATGTTTGTAATAAGAGAATATTATATTTTTATTTATTTAAAAATACAGGTTAGCTTCAAAGTTGGACAAACAGTCCTCGGGGACAGGTAAAATTTCTGAGTTTTTTTTAGCCCTGTTAGAGCGATATTGAATTTGGGATTTCCAGTTCAGTCAGTTAAAAAAGTCAAAGTTTCGGAAATTTTCAAAACATTTCACAAGACTTGGATTCTGCACTCCGTGACATTGTTTTAAGGTTATCACTTAGCTATATAAGCTGCTTCTTTTCATTTTTTAGCTCATTCCTAACTTTGATCAACTTCCGGTGCTTCATTCTAACAGAGTCCTTTATCATGTCTGCACATTGTATTTTCGCCGCACATCTCGATCTGAGTGTAAATTCACCCAGAGTATCAGAAATTATGCAGCGACCCGAAATTCTACATCAATTCGGAATTCCTTTCATTGACAACAGTTCAACGGCTGACACTAAAAGTCTGTCTCAATCTGAAAATTCATTCATCAATGAAGGTTCAACAGCTGACAATGAAAATTTGCATCAACCCGAAGCTGAAAGTTGTTCTGAAACTGAAAGTCTGCATCATCCCAAAACTCAAAATCAACCCGAATCTTTTAGACTCCATACAAATTATACTTTTGAAGCATGTAATAGTTTATCTCAAACTATTAAGTATAACGGGGAAAAGGTGATTGTAAATTTCTCATTTCAATCAACTAATCTGGACCTGAACTTTACGCTTTTACTTTAAATGTTTATGTATATGTTAAATTAATTTTTCAATGATTAATTTATTCAGTGTTTTTTCGTTATTTATTCATTCGTTTTAAATTTTTGTTGATGCATTCTTTTGTGTTGAAATTCTCACACTATATTAATCTTTACAATGACTATATTATTTTTTTGTTCCTTTATTTCGAAATTCTCAAGCTTAATTTATTTTTTAATGATTCATTTTATTAAGTGTTTATTATTTTAATATTATCTCAAGGATTCATTTATTCAGTGTTTATTAATTTTTTGTAATACATTCATTTGTTAAAATTATGTTATTAATAAAATAACGTTATAAGCTATTTGCTGTAATTTTTGTTTTAAACAAATATTTAAAAAAAAAAAAACTAAAATATTAATTTTTTTTAATGACAAATATTTGATATATTATATTTTTTAACTAAAAGCAAATATCTAAAATATTAAATTTTTTGATGAACATTTAAAAATATTGAATTTTTATTGACAAATATTTAAAATAATAGCAATATATTACGTCTAATTCAAATAATAAGAATTCAGTATAAACAGGAGTAATTGTGAGATCCTGAAAATTCCAAAATCTTGAAATTTTCTTACATAAAATCATTAGTGACGCATTTCAAAAAATTAATGTCTTTATAAATTTAAATCATTGATATATTCATAAAATGAAATTCTAAATAAATTATATACAGCATAATTTAAATGAATAATTATTTATAAGTTTACTTTTATCTTTTATCACATTTATTATTCTAACAAAAAATATTTACAAATGAAAGAGATGCCAAGTACAAAGTCTAGTTGTAATATTTTTAAATAAAATATAGAAGAATTTTTTGTACATAAACGTGATCAATGGTTTCTTGTAACTTCTAGACCTTAGATTTCTGGATCAAGGTTATGGAAAAGTCTGGATTTTTTCTGGAGCAAAACCATCCTCAGTATAAAAAAAACAATATTAAGGATTTTTAATAATCCTTATCATAATGTGACAGATGATGCTAAAACATTTTGGGTAATATGCTACCCATACAAATGATTGAAGTTGGATAAACTGCAAGTGTTCATTCCATCATTCTGTGAACACACACTAATTTAAAGTTTATTCCAACATTTTTGAATTTCTAGATAAAATTTAATTGTGTACTATGAACCATATATATCAAGATTGCAGGATTTAAACCATCTGGTGTACATGCGTTAACGTTCTTTAAACACAAATAATCAACTTCCATATCATTATAATGCCTTTGCCTTCAAAGGACCCATTTTTATCAATGCCACTGGCCACTGCACTAGAATCTCCCTTTGGATATGTCAATAATTTCTAGAAAAAAAGAAATGTCTCATAAGCACATTGCTTGTTACCTCATTATTTTTAACACACATATAAAAAAATAAAACCCTTAAGAAAAAATATATATATAAAAACAAAGGTGAAAAAAGGATCAAAATATTCAGATACAAGAGCATCTAAAAAAGGTAAATTAAATTAATTTCCATGTCTAAAGTAGATTGAATATTGGAATTAAATGAGGTGATAACATAAAGTAACTCTTGAAAATCAGTATTCAGTCTATTCAGATAAACCTATCGATAACATATCTTTTCTTTGGACATTTTAAAAACTTTTGAAGAGCTTGAAATTTGTACTGTTTTTCTTCGCTTTTTATGTATTTTTAAAGCGAATGAAGATTTTAATCAGATATTAGTCACTTCCATGTTATTAAATAAAAAAATAATCAATAACGACAAACATTCTCCTAAATTTACAACAGTGCCGAAAATAAAATTTCAATTTTATGGATGAAATAAAAAGGAACAGTTAAACAAATCTTAGCTGGAATATCATCGGCAGTATTTAAAGGTTTTAGGTCTAATTCAGCTTTTAGTTGACTGTAAAAAAAAAAGAAGTTAAAAATCAGATCAGAATATCAATGACGTACACGTTAATGCAAAATTAAAAAACAAATAGACAACATATTTAGCTTTAATGACATCAAAATCCACAGGTGCTAAAAATATAAATATTAAATTATTTGCAGGCAGAAAAAACTACAAATTAGTTTTTTTTATCTTTAAATTATTATTTTTTTAAATTTTCTATCGAAAAGGCATAGTAAAGATTGAAAAAATGTTTCCAAAAATTCATAAAACTTACTAGAAGAATTATTAGTTTCTTCAGATTTAATAAGGCCTAATTTAGCTCTGAGTTCACTGAAAAACACAAAATAAAATGTTAGTAAGAGTACATTATTGTAAAATGCAATGAATAATAATTTTATGATTAATTTTTTCAATTAAAAGAAAAAATATCTGTATTAAAAAATGATTATTTTATTGCAAAATTTAGGCATTATAAAATTCTTGGAATACAAAACAGAATATGTTTTTGTTATGTTTGTGAGCGGAAAAAAACTCTATGCACACGTTTTTTTTAAAGACATTTTCTTATAGAAAAATAATAAAATCAATATAAGGTGCATTTTGATGTAAAATTTAAAAGATGAATTTTTATTTCTTTTTATCATCCCAGTCCTTTATATTTTAGATGAATATAATTAAAGCTTCTGCTATAAAGTGTTCAAAATATAATTGTTTTTTTTTAACAATTATATTTTATAATATAATTATAAATTGTTTATGTTTTTTTTAAAGACATTTTCTTATAGAAAAATAACAAAATGAATATAAGGTGCATTTTGATGTAAAACTTAAAAGATGAATTTTTATTTCTTTTTATCATCCCAGTCCTTTATATTTTAGATGAATATAATTAAAGCTTCTGCTATAAATTGTTCAAAATATAATGAAATTATATCCAAATATGAAATACTCACTTTGTTTCAATTTCAGCTTCTTTATCATAAACTGTAATAAAAAATTAAAAATATGATATAATATTGTACTCAAGGTTAATTATTTAAAAATTTCAAATAAAAAAAAATAAATAAATAATTTCTTGAAAAATTTACGACTGATGCCATAAACAAAAAACAATGTTAAGGAAAAACACTTTGAAATTAATAAGATACATATAGTTTAAAAATCTAGAGAAAATCCTAACAAAATTTTATTTTGTATTTTTTTTCCATCTTGATTAAATAATTTAAATTTAATAAGCTTTTCTGCAAAATATAAAAATAGAATCAAAATTTTAAGGTTTAGATGATATTTTTCAGGCTTTAAAATTTCTTAGACATAGATTAGAAATAAATAATAATTGAAACTCAAAATTACTCAATAGGTTTTCAAAATTACAAATTAAACTATAATAAAAATTGAAATATATATAAATAAAATATTAATAAAACATTTATTAAAAAAAGTTCTTTATAAAGTTATAGTCCTGAATAATAGCCATTTTGAGTGAAAATAATAATTTTCTCTTGTTAATTATTTCTAAATGCCATTATATATTGAAATCTGAATTGAAATAAATTCCCTTACTAATTAGTTTTCTTTTTTATTTATTAAAATATTTAAATTTAGCTTCTAATGAAAATTGGAATTAAAGTGTTCTAGAATTAAAAATATATATGTACATAACATATATTGAATTTCCAGCTAACACAAAAGTACCAAAAAGAAAATAATAAGTTTTCAAAGATAAAGATATGAAATATAGAAACGGAAGCAAACATACATTTTATAAATTATAATAATTTTTGGTAAGTAAAATATACAAACAAAGAAATGCTCGATATTTCAGAAAAATGTTTTGCTACTACTTTACCTATAGTAATGTCTTTAATGGGCCCATTTTTATCAATGCTACTGGACATAGTACTAGAATCTCCCTTTAGATATGCCAATAATTTCTAGAAAAAAATGTCTCATAAGCAGATTCTTTTTGCCTCATTATTTTTAACACATATATATATATAAAAAAAAATGGTAAAGGAATAAAATATACAATGTCAGGGTTCCCACTCAATTCCAGAAATGAAATTTCCCTGACTTTTCCAGAAACATTTCAATAAAATTCCAGATCACATTTTAATTACATATGGCAACTATAATAAAAATAAACAACTTTTAATTATCCGAATATATATATATGAAAAATAACGAGTCTTCAAGTGACTAATAATATAAGAGTTGAGTAAAATATTTCTTAATGCTATTGGATACATAACTAATAAAGAGAATTTTCTTTAGCTTTTACAATTGTTAACTGAACAACATACAGCAGAAAGGGCATCAAGTCAAAATAAAGAATAATTTGAAAAGACAAACTCGAAAATTTAGTGTTTCATTGAAGAAACAGTCTTGTCTGTTACAAATACAAGCAAAATATTATTTAAAGTTTTTACTTACCAATTTCAAATTTCTCAGCTTTATACACACATAAATAACTTTTTAAATATGAAATGAAAACTGAAAACAAAGTAATACACAATAAAGTTTGAAAATATAATGAATCATCTATTTACACATTTAGATAATAGTTTTTATGGTATTCAGCTCTTTTACCCTTTTCTTCTTGCTTTCTTTATCTCGTCAAGTGCCATGTGGTATCGTGTTCGAGAAATTTTCACATGCTGAAGCATATCTGGTGTTATATTGACTGATACTGGTCCCCAGAAGATTTTATGGCATCATATGTTGAACGAAGCAAAACGCGAATTGATTGAGATTTTTCACGCAAATTCTCAATCAACATATCTTTGCTGATTGAGAATCCGGACTCAGACGAAGCATTTCCAAGTGAAAGAGTCATCACAATTTTTATTACTTGGAACAAATCTTTAAAGTTGCCTTTTTTATCTAGGTAACTGGAAAAAAACAACATCCAAAGGTGCATCTTTGTTAAGAGTATGAAACAAAAGTAGTTTTCCACTCATTTGTAACAAAAAAATTGCTTCTTTGTACGATCAGCAGCCAGTACAGGTAAAATATTACTTTGATGTAAAAGTTGCATCTGAATATAACAAAAGAGGATCTAAGCAAGACACAGCTTTAACTATAGCAAAATATACAGGTGACTTTTCAATAATTTTAGAAGTTAACACAAGAAGTTCACAAATTTTTTTTGCATTATTTAAAGAAATTTATTTTTTCTGCTTCAGACACCCCACTTTTAACTAGAAAGTTCCTCGTAGCAATATCAAGATCTAGCTCACTGCCTCTTTTGTGTGTAGTAACATTATCCGCTTCTAACTCTAGAAGTAGAAGAGGTGTTTCGGCTCTTCATAACACTTCTTGTTTAATAAATCTAGACATTAACTGTCTAAATATATCTGAGAAAGCACCAAATAAAAATGGTACCATTGGCACAGGTCTTTGGAATGACCTTAAAAAAGATAGCAGCGACTGAAATGAAAAATGCTATCTTAGCTAAAATGAGCATCTGATAGCATCTTCAATATTTGCAACAGTTACAGTTTTGGGCACATTTTTTCTGCATTTTTCAAAATGTTTCAAAACATATGGAAAAACTTCTAATGCTCTTTCTGTCACAGAAACATTTTCAATCCATCTTATTTGACAAAATATTAATGGAAAAACATTTGAATTTGTCAAAGTTATGAAGTCTGCATATCTAGCTGGACTGTCTTAAAACAATTTGTACAGATTGAAATAAAATATTCAATTTCCAGTTAGAAAATTTGTTGCCTCTCTGAAATGCACCATGAATTATATGCAAGCTGCAAGTCGCTAGATTAAATAAAGAAAATCATTTTTCCTCTTTTAACTAATCAAAAAGATGTCTCCAAAACTTCCCAGTAAGCACACACCTCACGGCAAACGTAAGGCCGTAAGCTGGCATTCTAGGTAGGATAACGGCAAAAGGCAAGTACAATAGGGTCCTTTATCGTTTGTTTTGAGGCATTTCAGGAAGAGGCGGAATAACTCCTCACTTATACAGGCCCGAAAAATAAAACCGCTGTTTGGCCTCTTACACTAAATTAGTTACAGGACCTTTATTGTATACCGCTGTTTGGCCTCTTACACTTAATTAGTTACAGGACCTTTACTGTATACCGTTAATTAAATGTAATGTTACAATTGATTAATAATGAATAGATGCAGAGTTGGTAAAAAATGTGCTTTTAACTCAAAACTTTGAAAAAAATCAGGAGAGAAAGGAAAAAAATTCATAAAACATTAACCGTATTTTTTGAGAGGAAAAAAACAGTTTTTATTATTCTTTGAAAACTGCTAATTTTTTAAATAGAATATTAAAAACTAGAATTTTATTATTTTATTATAATCTAAATATACTTTCTGTGGCATTACCTATTATATTTTTAAAANTATCTAAATACAGGGTATCTGCTACATTTTAGATTTTCAAATTCATGACTAATTCCAAGAACTTTTCATGACTTAACAAAGTTACTATTTTCTTTGATAATAACTCAACGATAAATTTAAAAAAGCATTATAATAACGTTAATTTAAATGATAGGTATAACCAAAACTTTTATACTCTGCATCTTCATATTTATAGATTTCAAATTTAAAAAATAGAGTAAAGCAAGATGCAAAATAACTGGGGCGAAAATGCAAAAGCAATTTTTTTTTCAGCAGAATTATATTCTAAAGATACTTCGTTCATCATAAAGATTTCGTTCACCCCAAAGAAAAGAAATACTAGTGATTTTTCTGTCCTCAATTTGCAATAAAAAAATATTGCTAATGACTGGTTTGCTTCAGCTAGAATTTTAAATTGATAAAATAAATAAATAAAAAAAATTTGCAATCACAAGAGTTTAAAAGATAATTCGCTTTAAAATTGATGTTCTTTCTTTCATTTTTTGAAAGAACACCATAAAAACATTTTATATTTTAATAAAATTAACTGTGAGTGGAGTTTTTGTTACAAATTCAGATATTCAGAACACCATGAAATTGGGGGGGGGATTCCATTTTAAAAAATAATGACCAAAATCCATGATTTTTCATGACTTTCCAGGTGTGCGCATATCCTGTAAATACCTCACTTTTACCTAGTTAGAACTTTCAGGCCAATAGCGGATAATAATATCCATTTGGCCTCTTTGCGCAGCACTGTTAACCGCTTCATCAAAGCACAAAACAAAAGGCGAAGGTCCAATTAGGGTGCTAAGCCAAGTGAAACAATGTACGCCATTTTCTTACTTCCAAAGCTAATGCTTTTAGCTATAGCACTATCGGGGAACATAGCTTGAAATGATGGTCCAGCATCTGTAAAAGCATTGTATGACGAATACGTCATTACAACTTTAAAAATCCATAAAATTTCGGAAGTTAAGGATTCTTCCCTTGTAATGAATTCCATTATTTTTGATGTAGTTGGCAGCTCTTTTTCTGCATTATCACTTGCAGCAGCACTAGACTTTCGTTCTTTATCAAGTGCTATATTAGCATATATGACCACAACAGAGAATAATTTTGAACTGTCCAATGCCTTTTAATGCTTATCCCTTTTTTCGTGACTAATAATAGCCTGTCTTCCCATATTACTCAAATTGAAAGTTTTGTTGCAGAAACGACAACGTGCCTTAAACGGATCGTTACGAACTGCTTCAATCCAGTTTGACCATTCAGGATTTTAACGATCATCCATCCATTCTGAATTAAACTCAGTTTTCTTGCACATTTTTCAAACAACAAATAAGTAATAATAGAAAAAAAAATTTATATAACAAATCCAGACCAGCGAAAAAAAACAATCTCCAAACACAAAATTCACAAGCCTCCGTTGAAAAAACAAACAAAAAATTATGTTGTACCATGTCTACTTACGATCACACGTGCCATTTTAATAATGTGAGAAGGGGAGACAAAGAAGAATGGAAAGGAGAAAATGCACTATACCCATTCGTAAAATATGTCATACGTAAAGTGTGACGAAAGTTGAGTAAATCTCATTGGCTCTGACTACATCCACGTCAGACGTAGAGGGCGATCAATAATTTTGCACATGCGCAGTAGGCGACGCGCTTCAGCATGTACAAAAATCAACTTATCAGATTGCAATCAATCATTTTCCAGGTTTTGTCGTAGGATTTTCCCAGGTTAAAGCAAAAATTAGTGATTTTCCCTGATTTATTTTGCTTATTTTAAATTGCCTGACAATTCCAGGTTTTCCCTGACCCGTGGGAATTCTGAATGTATACAATTGTATAAAAATAGTTAGTAAAATAATTTAAAGCTTACTTTACGATCTGGACGGCGGACAGCAGGAATGTTTTCAGCCTAAATTGTAATGATAATGCATGATCATAATAATGTCTTATTAGAAAAATTTAAAAACAAAATTCTCAATTAATCTTTAAATATACTCAATTATATACTTACAGCAGCTTGTTCGACATACTTTGGATGAGACAAAGATGCATTTTTTATAAAATAAAGCAGGCATTCTAGTGTATAATATTTCTTTTGAGTTCCATCTTTCCCAGAACTAAAAATATGCATTATCTATTATAATTGATACAACAGAAAAATAAGCATCAATATGTAAAACGTAATCATGTATTTAAACACATTGCTGATATTTGAAGTCCAATATACAAACATTTATCTTTCATAATATACAACACTGTATATAAAGAAAAGATTGTTGTCCCATTCTTCAATCACATAATAAAAATCACAGTTCTAAATTCATTTATCAAAAAATCTGTAAATCTGGTTTTATATATTATGTTACAATAAAGATGTTTTAGTATTAATAGATATAATAGAACAAAGCTGTTCAAAAAGAAGTAAAACCTGATGATAAAGCAGCCCCAGAATGATCTGTAAATGACCATTAATCTGAAAACTACATAATTTAAGAAAGAAAATTAAATCAATAAATTCTGAGAAAACACTAAAAATATAAGATTAAATTACCACTTAGGAATTATGGAATTGCCTATTTAAAATACTGAAGAACTAGAGAAACTTTGAATCAAAATATTTTATGAAAGAAACTACATTCAAGGAATTCCTAAGAAAAAAAATAGTGATTCACTACACGTTTAAACTATGGGTCCCTAGAACCCAGGATTCAAATTGTCTGGTCCTTTTGCATTTAAAACGGAGGTCCCTATTTAAAATAATACAAATCTTAAATATCAAAGATACAGTTCAAGAAAAATTAATATATGACTTGCATCAATGAAAAATTGCAATGTTATTTCAATACTTAGAATTATTATTCTCTTTCTTCATTATAAAAACAGAGGAAAAAACTTATTGAGGTTTGGTTTAATTTTGCCACCTCAAATAACCAAGTGACAATTTAGCTATTTTTTTTATAAATATTTTTTGGAGATGAAGAATACATACAAAACTCACGCTTTGTGTCTTTTTAATTTTTTGCATTTTTGAAAAAACTGCTGAAATGTAAAAAAATTTAATAGTGAAAAGATAAATTTTAAATAGTAGCTATCTTTCTAAAAAAAAAATTACAGTAAACTTAAATTTAATTTATTAAAAAGTAAACATTGTGCTACACTTTTACTTAAAATTACTACAAAAACTTTTAATTTTTATTGCAAACAAACATTTTATAAAGATTCTAATTTGCTATATTTTGTCATAATTCTTAGGATAAATATACATCACTTTTAACAGAGCAATAAATTGACACCTTAAATTACCTTCAACTGTATCCTCACGCTTAATGAAATATATTTGTGAGAAGCTTTAAACACCTAATGGCTTAGGTTAAGAAATTATATTATAATTGTCAAAATAATAAGCAGAGAAAAAAACTAACATGTAATTAGAACTAGGTTTAAATCAGTTTTATACAATTTAACTTAATTGCTTCCAATAAGAGGTAAAGATATTACTTATTCAAGAAAATTAATATACACTTAAATTGTAGGGGATATATTTTTGTAATTGAGGTGCTGAAATTGTTGTACACATTGTAAAGAAAACGAAGATTAACACTGAAGTCATGTTCCGAGATACCTCAAGATGACGATTTTATTATCAAAACTAAAACATATATAATTAATTTTTGAAGAAAACTTACCCACATACAAGATAATTGTTCTGTGTTGTTTTGGGCCATGAATTCGCTCCAAAAATAACTTGATTATTTCGTTCAATAATTGGCTTTTTAAAAAAATTGTACTCCCGAAGAACATTCAATGGATTACTCATAGTAAAATAATATATAGACCTTGTAAAAATATATAGACCTTGTCATACAAGAATATTCTGGTGGCCAAGACAATTTTAATATTTCAAATCGTGAATTCGCGGTCAATACTAAGTTGTCATCATCAACTGCCTATTTCTGCGCCTAAAAAAATATGAGTAGTGTTGTGCTTATAAAATTGGACGAATGTTTGGGGGTCTCTATCTTTTAAGGAACGCACTGTCTTGGCTGACCGCCCTCTTATAACCCTAAACTTTGGCGATCTGGTGAAATGGGTGATTGCCAAACGAAATCTATCGCCAACTGCTTGGATGCCCGCTTTTTGAACGTGATTGAAAATGGCGAAAATGTTTGAGCTGGAAAGATGTAACGAATACGCTAGGAAATACATATTTTTTACTACAATATTTTTATTCATGCAAAGTGATTTCTAGATACTGGACATTAGTATTGCAGCGCTTGCTGAATTAATATAAAATAGCTCTTGGTGTCGACATTTTTACTGGCTAGCATTGCATATTGCAGGTATCATNGTGTTCTGAAAGGGGTTCCGTGGTTCGGTTGTGTTCTGTTGTTCGAAAAGGTTCTGAACAATACTGGTAAATAGGGAAGCTAGATAATGGAGCAAATGTTGAAAATAATGAGAGATCCAGGAAGAAAAGTGAAACGGATTTTATTCTAAATAGCGTAATTCGAAGCTTCTTCCAAAATGCGAGAAATTCGCGAATTTTGAAATTGATTTATAGAATGCGCGAATTTCTCGCAGTAATAATTTGTTAATGCGAGAAAAGTAAAAAATATGCGAGATTCTCGCGCTGTTGTGAAAACACTGAGTAGCTATCTTTCTAAAAAAATAACAGTAAACTTAGATTTAATTTATTAAAAAGTAAACATTGTGCTACATTTTTACTTAAAATTACTACAAAAATTTTTTATTTTTATTGCAAACAAACATTTTATAAAGATTCTAATTTGCTTTATTTTGTTATAATTCTTAGGATAAATATAGATCACTTTCAACAGAGCAATAAATTGACACATTAAATGACATTTAACTGTATCCTCACACTTAATGAAATATATTTGTGAGAAGCTCTAAACACCTAACAGCTTAGGTTAAGAAATTATATTATAATTGTCAAAATAATAAGCCGAAAAAACTTACCAGGGGTCTGTCTAGGTTTTTCTGACAGGTACCTATTTTGTGAAAATTTAGACGTAATTTGTGAAAAATTTAAATTAAGAAATCAACACAAAAATATGGATTTATCGTTTCTTAAGGGATACAAATATGAAATTTTAAGAAAAAGTATTTTGTGAAACTACCGTTTTTCCAAAATTGAATTTGTGAAACTACCGTTTTTCCTAAAGTTGAATTTGTGAAGGTACCGCTAAACGGTAGTAAATTCGGCCTGGACAGACCCCTGCTTACATGTAATTAGAACTAGGTTTAAATCAGTTTTATACAATTAAACTTAATTGCTTTCAATAAGAGGTAAAGATATTACTTATTCAAGAAAATTAATAAACACTTATATTGTAAGGAATTTATTTTTGTAATTGAGGTGCAGAAATTGTTGTACACATTGGTAAAGAAAACGAAGATTAACACTGAAGTAATGTTCCAAGATACCTTAAGATGCCGATTTTATTATCAAAACTGAAACATATACAATTAATTTTTGAAGAAAACTTACCCACATACAAGATAATTGGTTTGTGTTGTTTTGGGCCATGAATTCGCTCCAAAAATAACTTGATTATTTCGTTCAATAATTGGCTTTTTAAAAAAATTGTACTCCCGAAGAACACTCAATGGATTAGTCATAGTAAAATAATATATAGACCTTGAAATAAATATATAGACCTTGGCATACAAGATTATTCTGGAGGCCAAGACAATTTTAATATTTCAAATCATGAATTCGCGGTCAAGTTGTCATCATCAACTGCCTATTTCTGTGCCTAAAAAAATATGAGTAGTGTTTTGCTTAAAAAAAAGGTTGGAAAGTTTGGTTGTTGTTGTAGTTGTAGTTCATTTGCGTCGCACTAGAGCTGCACAATGGGGCTATTGGCGACGGTCTGGGAAACACCCCTGAGGATTATCCGAAGACATGCCATCACAATTTTGATCCTCTGCAGAGGGAATGGCACCCCCGCTTCGGTATCCCGACGACCTGCACGCGAAGTCGAGCACTTTACGGTAGAACAGTTTAGCAAGGACCCATACCGCACACCCTCGGTCCCTACGCAGACTGATCCAAGTGGTCACCCTCCCGCACACTGACCGCAACCAGTGATGCTTGACTTCGGTGATCTGCTGGGAACCGTGTCTTAACGATCAGTCCACTGCGAGACCATGCGGTTTGGAACATCCATGGTTTGGAACTAAGGCATCATTCTCACCGAATGTGGTTTCCTTACCTCCGATAACCGACTAGAAAATTCACGATTGCAACGAACTGTAGGGATGCTGTTGTATAAGACGAATCGCTGCGATTTCTATACTAACAGTCGTTCAGTTGCTCTGGAAATATCTTCAGAGTAGCATTGCAACGCTCCTTTTTTATTATGTGTCTTATTAAATTTAAAAAAGAAAAATGTTTGATATTCTTTCTTATATGCAAGCGAAAACAAAATGGTATCTCTTTTTTTAGAGAAAGAACATCCAAAACATATCGGAAAAATATCTGTAAATAAACAGAAAAAAATATACCTTCTTATTAGAGATAAAACATAATGCCTGAGAAATAGTTTTACTAAATTTAATGATACAACATGAAAGGCCTATTTAAACGTTACATTCCATAGTTTTAAGAATCATATTATTTTAAACATTAAAATAAGCAAAAAGTATACATAAGCTCATAATTTTATATTATTTAATTTTGAAAAAAAAATTGACAAAAATTTTTAATTAAACAATTTTAAATATCAATAAAAATCATTATTTAGAAACTAAAAAACGCAAAATAAAGAATGTGTACGAAACAAAAAAAAAAATCTTTTTNAAAAAAAAAAAAAAAAAAAAAAACGATTCCAAAAATTCTTGAAACTAAAATAAAAAACTTTCATGTTTGTTGGGTCGACTGTTCAACGACGGTTATAAAATATGAAACAAAATACAACAAGGAAAGAATAACAAACAACCGAAAGTAAGAAATAGAAAAAGACGGAAGTCACCACCCCAGAAGTGTTTTCGCACATCTATATATTGCGATCTCGGGAGTTAAGCCCATATAGTGTTCTGCTGCTATGGAGGTTCTTTCGATTCCTGGATCTTTTATTAGAGTTACAGGATGTTAAGATGTTCATATGTATGGAAACGATACAAATGTTCTTTCTTGATGGCTCGTTAGGAGTCAAACAGATCCTCTTATTCCCTCGACGGTGATCAGTGCTGAGAAAACTGCATTCGGTGAGAATGATCCTTGTTGTTGTTCATTTACGTCGCACTAGGCTGCACAATGGGCTATTGGCGACGGTCTGGGAAACATCCCTGAGGATGATCGTGAGAGTTCGAAATATTGTCCAGCACACTGTTACCACATATATTTAAATAAATTTTTGAATTTCTTAGCTAGCAGTGGAGCTAGCTATAGATGATGTTTTCTGCACTAGAGCAAGCTGCAAGCTCTTTGCTTCCTATACTTCCGGGTAACTCTTTTCGGAGCATTTTAAATTCATTCGGCTAGAAACTTGATCATTGTGTTTTGAGCTTTTAATGAGTAGCATTTCCTTTATACGTGTATTTGCTATCTGATTTTTTATGAATGTGTAAAGAAAAGAATATTCATTTGAAAAGCTGTGCTTTCAAGACATTAGAATCGTCATTTGGAAGAAAAAAAAGCGTTTTAAAACTCTACTTGCTATAACCTACTTGCTATAAACCTGAATGATGATTTGCAAAATGAACTTAATCTCGCTACTCGAAATACGGCAAAAAGTATAATAAAAGAATGATGGTGCATGCACTCGCATGATGCGCATGGCTTGTAATAAGAACAATAATGAACTAGTAAAAACAGGCTAAATCAGCACCAAAAAAAAAAAAAAAAAAAAAATTCTTCTTTTTTNAAAAAAAAAAAAAAAAAAAAAAAAGATTTTTTTCTAAATCTAGCAATTATGTCACCTGTTTTTAACAATACATGTATAAATAACTAACACAAATTTTTCCTTCTTACTCACCAGAATTACTTAATTTCATTAATATCTGATGATAATTTTTTCAATTAGAAAGCCTACATTATTTTGTTGATTTCGAGATATAATGTCAAATCTTAAATAAAAGCTAACTTTCTATGAAGGTATTTCTGCCCCCTGGGAAAACGGGAGTTGTTTTAGGTTATACACACGTATAAGCTTTCGGGTGTTATTCCAAGTTCGCTCGCTTTACGACTAGATCAGTTTCAATATCAATACTACAAAGAAAGAGTTTTACGCGAGTAAAAGGGTTTTTATTTATTTTATTTATTTAAACGACTTAAAACTCCTCATGCACCACAAAGTATCATGAGGCTTACAGTTGTAAGTAGAAAACAAAAGGAGAAAAATTTACAAATTTACATTAAAAACAAAATTCCGCAAGGCCGCAAGACTTTCAATACTTTTGACCAGTTCTGATAAGACAGGTGGCCAACAAATTGAAAGACGTCTCAAATCAGTCTTTAAATTCATTCGGGCACTCGCATAGAGACTACAGTGAAGAAGAATATGTTCAGCATCTTCATCAGCATCACCGCAAGCACAAATTCCACTGGTCTGCAGATGGAAACGAAATAAATATCTCTTAAAATTTCCATGGTTTGTTAAAATTTGGGTCAATTTAAAATCAGTTGCAAAGAATTTACATTGCAAACGGTGAAAAATGGATGGAAAGAACCTTTTCGTCCAGAGCGACCGAGGCGAAGCAAGAAATTCTGCATTCCAGTCCGCAATGATTTTATCTCTAGCGATGCGCTTCCAGTGAGAAGCTGGAACAGACACCCTTAAGTCTATTTCACCACACGTAGCTTCCCTAGNCTAAACACAAAAAGATACTTTAAGATTTCTTACAAAAAATGCATCGAGAATTCGAAACATTTTCTTTTTTATGTATTGCTGATGTCAGTTAGAAAAGAACGAGAAACCAGTTATAGCATAAGTATTAGCAGTAATAAAACTACAATACTTAAAATGCTAGAGAAAAAATAATAATACTTCATCATTCTTTTCAGATACCAGAATTTAAAATATTTTTTCTCTTAATTTTCTCATATCATATATATTTTGAAAAAATTATTTGAAAATAACAAAAAATAATAACCAACAAATAAGAACGCAAATAATAATAGAATAAATAGCCATTAAATAGAACAAAAAAAGAATGATGCACCGTGCAAAAAACAGAAATTTTCTTTGATTTTGTCGAATTTGAATAAAAAGATAATTATTAATAATTTTCCTTTTATTCAAATCTAAGTTATTTTGAGCCGTAGTTTGTTCGATAGTCATAGTTAATGCGAGCTATGTAAGTCATAGTTAATGCGATATCAAATAATGACCATTTCTACCATAAATCAGCATTATAAGGAAATTAATTGCTTTCATCAATCAGACAATTAATGCTTCATGCTTCTTCCTTTACGCTAATTATTGGAACTTAGTAGTAGGATTCATTTTCTTCTTCGTCAATAAAGAAAAATATAAAACTTATTTTAATTTTTTTTTTTAATAAAGCGAGTTGTGGCATAAAAGGTACAATAGACATTTTATCTAAAATAAAAGGTGTTATTTAAAAAGAAATAAAATTTAAGGACAATTTTTCAAATAAATCTAAATATATATATATATACAGTCCCTGGCCAAATTATTTGGCGCACTATAATATTCCACGTAAAATCTGAAGTTATCAGATGATACTATACAGCTTCGTTGATTTTACACGACTGAAACCAGTTTGAACTTGTTTACGCTCGTATATCAGTTGGTTAACATTCTAATGCAATGCGTTAAAAATAAATACAAATAGTATGTATATAAAAAATCTCTTAAATAAAAACCCCTTACATGTATGTTTAAATATAAAAGTATTGCCTATAAACTCGCGCAAAACATGCAATTATTAAAACACTACAGTGCCTCTGATATTTTGGTTTAATTATTATAATATACTAATCTTTTAACTGTTATAATAAATATTCCATATTTATTTAATATATCGTCTAATTTATTCAGTCGTCGAATTTATATTATGTATCGCCTAATTTAACCAATTGATACACGAACGTAAATATGTGCAAACCGGTTTCAGTCGCGTACACTGTAAGAAAATCTGGATCAAATTATGGTATGAAGTACCGACACTTTGGGTGCATAATCCAAAGATCCAGTTAACCGTAAAATCCATTTTCACCGTAAAATATTATACGGTAATTTTTATAGTAATTATTAATTAGGATGATTTAGTAGTTTTAGAGATTAGAATTTAATTTGAGTGATAGGTGGATTTTACTGTAAAAAATGTCTCTGCTTTTTACTGTAATTTCATCCAGAATTTTCACAGTACATGCTGGGATGAAGACTTGGATGTTTACATGGATTTCAAGCTTGATCTCTATAGATCGTATTAATGGGTTTTATCCAATTTTTGCACTGTCGGAAATTTATAAGGCGTTTCACTCTACCTTTATGTAACTCCTTCTGAGAAACGCAATTAAACTAAGTGGGTAACTTGAAAAAATGTTATTGAAAAAATTAATAAACTAATGTTTTTTACTAATGTACTAAACTGTTTTGTCTGGCAAATACATTGAGCAACAAATAGGAGGAAAATATTCCACCAATAGTGCTATATGATTAAAATTCTGAGAACTAACTAAAACAGAAAAACTTTTTATCACATGATGTTGTGAAAAAAAGAGTAAAATTTATCTTGTTTTAATACAAATATAAAATCAGTAAAAATGAAAGGAGTTCTTTTTAGCTTAATTTAGAATGAATTTATTTTTTACGGAATATTTTAAATTCATC